ACTCACCGCTTTCGGCGGGAGCCGACGGCGGCCGAGATGGTGGCCTTCAACGTCGCGGCCGAGCAGGTGTGCCAGGACATCCTCGCCGCCGAGGCGGCGGCGGCCGGCGTGGCCTTTGTGCCGAACCCGCAGGGGTGCCTCCAGCCGCTGGCGGAGTTCATGCCGCCTGTCGGCCCCGGGGCTGGTGCTGTCGGAGCTCCTGGTCCAGGCGCAGGTGCTGCCGCCGGCGCGATAGTGCCTGCTGGGCCGGCGGCCGGGGCTGCTCCCCTTGGCGGTGGGCCAGCCGTGGCTGGCGCTATGGTGGCCCCTGCCCCTGCGGCCGCGGCAGCCCCCCTTGGCGCTGCTGCCGCTGCCGTGCCGGATAAGTGGGTCACGATCGAGAGCACGTCCTTCAGCGCTCGCGGCGTCGTGGTCCAGCTTCCGGTGAACGCTCAGATCTCGGGGGACTTGGCAGTCTTCACTCCTCCTGGTCATGGTGCCGTCGCTGTGCGCAACATCCGTGATCTTGATGAAGGGGTCTACAAGGCCCTCGAAGCTGTACACGATCCCCGCGTCCTGCTACAGGCTCATCATGCTGACCCTCGTCCTCGTCGGGGTTTTGCTGAGGCGGTCCGTGACATGACCGAGTGCGTGGTGAGCAGCTGGACGGTACCTGGTCCGAGGACCGTCCTCTGGTGCGCTCAGCGGTTGGAACGCCGATCCAGCACGCCGCTTTCGCACCACCGCTGGTTCACCTCGACGTTCAACCTGAAGTCTGACCAGTGGGGCATAGAGGCCCGCGGGACGGCGCTCAGGGTCCTTGAGGAGTTGTTGCTGTGCTTCGACGGGGCCGACCCGTCCAACTTGGCCAGAGTTGAGATCATCATGAGAAAGGCTCAGCTCACGGAGTACGTCTACTGGATGGATTCTCTCGGAACGTCTGAAAATAACAAGAATGCTGGCAAGCCCTCGGTATCTTTTAGCGGCCTCAGGGATGAGTCGGCAATTTTCTCGGGCCTCGACAAGGACATGGGCGCCGCCATGGTGTGTCCATCCCTTTTGGATCACGTCGCAGCCGAGGTTCAGAGGGATGCAGCGATCTTGAAACAGGTGAGGAAAGCCAAGGAGGAGCGGGCCGCGCTCCTCAAGAAGCAATGAAGCCAGACATCCTCGACCCAGGAGCCCCCCCCGGCCTGGGTCGCTACGCGCAGGGGGGGCCTTTCACACCTGAGGATCGCGCGCGCGATCTCTTGCCTCTACCTCTTCCTCCCTCTCCACACCTCCCTAGGGGCACATCGTCAGTTTTTTCCAGGGCCACCCGTCGTCGTCTCGAGCGAGCGGGTCACAGTGACCGGCTTGTGCGGGACATCGCTCAGAGTTTGAGTGATCTTTTTTCAGGGGTCCTCGTCTCGTGGGGGGACCTTGCCGCCGACTGCTGCCCGGGACGAGGCAATTTGGCGAATTCGTCTTGCGGTGAACCGAATCGGCCCCCCCCCGAGGGGCTCGACGGCGCGGGGGCCTTGCGGGAGCTCTGCGCCCGGCGTGCCAACGATGGTGGGCCCGCCACCGTTACGCCGATCAGGCCAGCGTCAGTCTGCCTCCTGGATCTCCCTGCCCCGGGCAGCTCCCCTCGTCCTTTGGAGCTGCTGGGTGGTCCGGAGGGTGAAATTTTGGCTGATAAAGTTTGCTCGAAACTTCTTCCTGAGTCCCTGGCAGCCGGGAGGCTTCAACAGGAGGCCCCCGCTAGAGCGTATACAGATCCAGCGCTCCGGCGATCTCCCCGCCTGTATGCGTCTGTTTTAAACCGCTTGTGCGAGGCCGGTCTGATTGAATGGAGGCTAGGGTGCAGGGAGTCTGTGGGGATTTTCGTCGTTTCTAAGAAGTCAGGAAAGTTGA